AGACAAATTAATATATCTGGGACACATCCACACCCATGCATCCTTATCACCACAGTACCTAGTCACATCAACATATCACGGGACACGCCTACCACACGTAGCCATGCTCATCACCTGATACCTAGACACATTAATATATCACCTGACCACACCACACATAATACGCATATCCGCGATACCTAGACACATTAACACCCAGCCATGCTCATCACCTACCTGATACCCTAGACACATCAGCTTACTTCACCGGACGCATCCTGTTAATACATGCTCATCACCTGATACCTAGACACATCAACATATCACAGGACACATCCACGTCAGCCATGCTTATCACACCTGATACCTAGACACATCAACATATTACAGGACACATCCACGCACAGCCATACCCTCACCTGATACCTAGACACATCCAACATATCTGGGACATACGCCCACAGCCGTAATGCTCATCACCTGATACCAAGAGACATATTAATATATCACCGGGACGCATCCACACCCAGCCATGCTCATCACCTGATACCAAGACACATCAAGACATCTGGGACCACATCAACACACAGCTACAAATATCACCTGATACGTATTAACACATCAGCATCACCAGGAACACGAATACATGCACGCACCCACTGATAACATGACAAAACAGCACGATCACAGGACACATCCTCACTCACACATGTACGCATCGCCCGATCATTTAGACACATCAACATATCACCAAGGCACATACACATACCGCCTTCCACATCACCTGATACCCTAGACACATCCACATATCACGGGACGCATCCACACCCATCCATGCTCATCACCCTGCTACCTGAACCCCGCATCAACATATCACCCGGACGCATCCACAGCCAGCCATGTTCATCACCTGATACCTAGACACATCAACATATCACCGGACACATCCACCAGCAGCCATGCTTATCACCTGATACCTAGACACATCATCATATCACAGGACACATCTACACACAGCCATACCCATCACCTGATACCTAGACACATCAACCATATCGCCGGACACATACACGCCCAGCCATGCTCATCACCTGATACCAAGACACATCGCAAGACATCTGGGGACGCATCCACACACAGCTACAAAGTATCACCTGATAAGTAACACATCAGCATCACCGAACAACAGCCATGCACCACCTGATAACATGACAAAGCAACGCATCACAGGACACATCCTCACAGCCATACACATCACCTGATATTTAGACACATCAGACATATCACCAGGCACATACACATACCGCCTTCCACATCACCTGATACCTAGACACATCCAACATATCACAGGGCACGCATCAACAACCAGCCATGCTCATCACCTGCTACCTAGACACATCAGCATATCACCGGACGCATCAACAACCAGCCATGCTCATCACCTGATACCTAGGCACATCAACATATCACAGGACACATCCACACCGACCATGCTTATCACCTTGATACCTAGACGCATCATCATATCACAGGACACATCTACACACAGCCATGCCCATCACCTGATACCTAGACACATCAACATATCACCAGACACATACACACCCAGCCATGCTCATCACCTGATACCAAGACACATCAAGACATCACAGGACACATCAACACACAGCTACACACATCACCTGATACGTAACACATCAACATCACCGAACACAGCCATGCACATAACCTGATAACATGCGACAAAGCAACACATCTGGGATGCATCCTCACAGCCATGCACATCACTTCGATATTTGTGGGACACATCAACACATCACCGAGGCACATACACATATACCGCCTTCATTTTATCACCTGATACCTAGACGCATCAACATATCACAGGGACACCATCCACACCCAGCCATTGCATATCACACTGATACCTAGACACGCAAACATATCACCGGACGCATCAACCAACCAGCCATGCTCATCACCTGATACCTAGGGCACATCAACGTATCACAGGACACATCCACACCAGCCATGCTCATCACCTGATGCCTAGCCATATTAAAATATCACTGAAGACACATCCACGCACAGCCATGCTTATCACCCTGATACCTAGACACACATCAACATATCTTTGCCGGACTATCCATCACACAGCCGTTAGCGTCATCACCTGATACCTAGACACATCCAACATATCACAGGGACATCCACGCAGCCATGCTCATCACCTGATACCTAAGACACATCAACATATCACCTGACACATACACACCCAATGCATGCTCATCACCTGATACAGACCGCATCAGGACATCAAAGGGACACATCAACACACAGCTACTGTATCACCTGATACGTTACACATCAGCATCTACGAACACAGGCATGCGCACCACCTGAATATCATGACAAAGCAACACATCTGGGACGCATCCTCACACAAGACATGCGCATCACTTTCATACCGCCTTCCACATCACCTGATGCCTAGACACATCAACATATAACCACACAGCCACATACACGCTAAGCCACGCATATCACTTGATACCTAGACGCATCAACATATCACCAGACACACTTACACACTCCAGCCATGCGCATCACCTGATACCTAGACATAAACATATCACGGGACGCATCAACAACCACCCATGCTCATCACCTGACACCTAGACACATCAACATATTTTGGGACACATCCACAGACATCCCTACACAACGACTGATAGCATTACACATCATCAAGTCCCTTGGTATATGCCCACACATAGCCAGGCTGTATCACCTAGGACACATACGCACAGAATTCACATCCACGCTCAGATCAGCTGATAACCACGCACATCAGCACATGACACATTAACATAACCGGTCAGGTTCAAACACATCTTGGCGGATTAACACATCATCAGGCACATCTACACCATTAAATCATTTCAACCCTAAACTAGGCCGAATTCATACACAACCAGGAAACACCAGATATGTCAAACACACAACTATGCACATCCACACACACCCAGACACATCAGCAAACAAGCGGACACACTCAGCCACAACCAAACCTTACCCATGCAGAAGATCTCCCAGATCGTCACGCCATAGGACCACGCGTCACTCTTCTCATTAGCATCCTTAAGGACCTTTCGAGGCGCTCGGGGCTGTCCATTTAATGGGGATGCGGTCCTTCATCATAAAAGCATCAAAGTTTGAAAACCTTAGGTTTTATTTTGGCTTATCATTCTTTTTATGGAAGTGATAGGGATTACATCGTAGCAGAAATCGTGAATGCCCATAATCGAGTGTATAATGACAGTTTACCCAAAACATTAAAGAAAGATTGATTGTACTATAGCCATGTTTTAATTGACGGACAGCCGTGATTGTAATATGCATACTAATAGTCTTAATGAAGCTGACAGTTCCTGCACCCTTACCCTTTGTTGTCCTCGGAGGTCTCATCAACCCCTTTGGTCCAAGAAGCCTGCAACTTTGATCTCTCAGCAGGAAGGTCAACAGACGGTTACGTTGCAGCTAGTTGCGAGTGAACGATCTGAAACAAATACACAAGCTGAACACACACTCACATCCTAACTAGATTCTGTTCTATAACCCCAACTTCTTGAAGACACGTAGATTGAAACTAATCTCATCCAGTCATCGGGGATCAAGATTCATGTCCTTGTCCAGTAATGGTAGGGGCGAGGAATAATCAAGACGTATACTCTCTCTCACCACCATGTACTGTTATGGGATAACGTGACACATACTGACCATAGCCAGGTAGATCCAGACGGACAGACTGACCCCGGTATTTGAAGACCTATGAAGATGGATATACAGGCCTTGCCATTAAAGATAGTGAGGATTCATGTATTTGGTTTGGCCATTTCATAAACACGAGGGATTCGTGTATGGGGCTCCCAATTATAGAACATATTAAGGTTCTTGAATCGGGCTAGCCATTTCAAACACCAATGAAGATCCATGCATGGGGACCGCCATTCAAGACACGCATCAACATGGATATAAAGACCTTGTCTTTTCAAAAGTACGAAGAATAACAGAGAGGCTTCACATTTTCAGGAAGCAGGAAACTGTAAAGTTGACCGTTAAATTTTAAGAGGTATCCAAATCAATACACCCGACCTCACTCAGAATTTTATAACGCCTCAATGTCCACTCAGAGATCTAAACAATTGCATACACTGTGTTTTTAAGACTCCTTCTTCTCCACACACACCTGTGTTTTAAGACTCTTCACAATAACATCACCAAAAGCAATTAGGCATGCATCATTGGTTAAGCCAAAAATTATTTCCCATGTTGAGTAACCGTCAATCGTCGTAACGGTATCTACCTGATTTCCTTCCGTTTTTAGGTATTTAAAGTTTATGTTACTGCTACATTGACACTTTACCTTGAAGTCAGGGTACTCCATGGCACGTGCGATCTCAGGGCAAAGTTCTGTATCCTGTCAAAAGGGTTTCCTTCGGTGATGTTGGATCTCTGATTGGTCAGCCACTTGTCCAACTGCCCAGTCTCGCAGTACTCCAGCACCATGACGGGACCCACTGAGAGAGACACCACAGAAAGTAAGACACATGTTATACAGCCAGACACCAGACAGACACAGATACACCCACAGAGGTACATGTTATAATGGCAGACTGACAATTGAAGTTTTAAACAGACGTTCTACTGGAATCGATTTCAAGAATGGGCAAAATGACCATCATTTTCCAAAATCGAATGACCACAATTCAAATTCCACAGAGTGTACAAGACACAGTGGTCAAGGAAATTAAATACAATGGGTCGCACTCAAATCACTAAATTTTTGCCAAGTGAGAAACAAGCAGGTCCTGTCTTAAAGGTAGAACCTACCGTTAACATACTGTGCAGAATAAAGTTGTGTTTTTCGGGACATTTTAAACAGACCGATACTGGTTCGGCAATAGAGTAAAGCAACAACTCACAAGCATCGTTTTCCATGATGGCTCCTAAGAAGCCCAGCACATTGCAGTTGCTCACCGACCTGTCTTAGCAGCAAAGTTGATCTTCGCCAGCATCAAAAGGATGTCGTCCTCACTCTCCCGCACTGTGAAATGTTGACATAATGAACTTGACACCAGGACCATAACACACATGACACATACTAGGTTGAAATGTTATTCACATACAAATAGTTTTACCTTTCAGGACCTTTGCAGCCACTTCCTTGACGTTCTTGGGGTTCCATCCACTTGGCCTTGTAGATCTTTGCAAACTTGCCGGTAGCGATGACCTCTGTCAGGCTGATGTCTTCTGGAGGGACGTACCAGGGTTCTCCTCGAAAGTCCATACTGCCGTAGATGTAGATGTCGTCGTCCTTGGTGTATGTCGTGTTCTATAGCAGATAAAGGAGTTTCGCTAAAGTAAAGTTAGTTTGCCAAAGGTCTCTCATGTGGATATTGTATTGTGTATTGATTTTGTAATGCATTTTCATTTCCGCACAAACAAGACAGCAAGACTCTGAAGACACAGCTAAAAATGTAGAAGGTTTTATATCTCACATCATATGCCCATCTGCTGGCGCGATTCCTTTGTTTGACAGCTGTGGTAATCCAACTGGGGTCTCTACATGTGGTCTCTCCCTGTACTTCCGGTCCCGTCGAAGGAGACCGGCGAGAAAGCCAAGTTTGAATAGGACCAGTCCCACGATGACGAGAATCACTATGAGCAGGAGTAATACCCTGGATGAAAGCAAAGAAAACAAGAGTGAGTGAGTGAGTTAAAATTTACCGTCACATCGGCGATATTTCCAGCCATATCGTGACTAAAAGAAGTTTCAAAATTGACCAGAAATACATGTAAATCATAAAAACCCGTCAAGAAGGACACTAAAACCAACTAGACTGTCACAGTGTCAAGAATTAATACTAGCATCTCTCTCTAAATTGGATTTCAAATTAGAGAGTCTTGAGTAAAACGCTCTTGGTTGGCACATGATGCTGACGTTTTAGTTGTCTTAAACAGTTTTATAAGAGTACACCTACCACGTCACTCACTATACTCAGCCACTGCTCCCCTGAAAGTCCATCAGATTCTAAGCAACAGAGAACAGAGGCTGATGTGTCCACTTCTGATTTGATGAGGAAGCATTTGCCACAAACATATTCTAGTAAATTAAATTTAAACAGGTATTACGTTAGGGTCCTGTGGTTTGATCACTTTTTTTTTCATAATCAGCCAATGTTTATCCGGCAACCTTTATACTCCAGAGTCAAACATATGGATTGAATGTGAAAGTGTGTGATGGAGTTAGCTGGGATTTAACGCTGTTTTGAAACAAGTATTCCAAACATATGTCAACTTAATGTGGGAGATCTACCAAAAATGATGCGGGTCTCAAATGTTTACGAGTTCCTACAGATCACGAGCAGGGTGCTGACCTCCTTCAATGTCTCCTCCTATATTGGTCATTGGTACTGAATGTCCAGTACGTCATTGTACTCGACAACCCATGCTGCCTAGAGGCGCGATAGGATTAACAGTCATAGGACATAGCCCTCCGGTTGCCCATTCACCCCTGGCAGAACACCGGCATTTGCCTAAGGTAACATCACGTGTGTTACATGTGGTCTGCATGGGGCAGAACTGAAGTCTCAGAAATTCTAAGACGTGAAGCTGACAAACTGGTCATCCATCCAAAACCTATTTTAAATATTTAGCACGAAGATCAGCTGAATCTATAGAGGACTCAGAAGAAGCGTCATCTGTCACAGATTTTTACAATTATACTATTTCAAATATATTTCCGACAACTCACACTTATAAGCACAGGCTAGCAATTCTTGATTTTTTAAATGTTACACTTATCTTCTAATGGCATACTGATCTTCCAGTGTTATACTTGTCTTCATTTTCACTTAGTTTGCCGACTAACTTAAACAGCCAACACTGATACAGCTAATACACAACAAGCAGTCATCGGTCGTCACAATCAACGCCAGAATTGGCATATGAATAATAACAAAATTCATCCGCACTTTTAATAGCTATTGAACTGGATGTCATACTAAACTTTTCTCACCAAAGTTTAAATCAGATACTGACAACGAAAACAGATAACTGCTTCTGTGTTGATGAACGTTCAGTGACAATATACAACTCGTTGAGGAATATTAATGCTTTAAAGAGTGTTTTACAAAGGCGCCAGATAGACATTTGCAGAAACTCAACGGATAATGTAAACAATGAAAATGTGCGTGAATGAGTACGGCGTTCTTAGCAATATTCCAGCAATATCACGGCGGGGACACCATGAATGGGCTTCCCACATCGTACCCATGTGAGGGAATCAAACCCGTGTCTTCGGCGTGACCAGCGAACGCTTTAACCACTAGGCTACCCTGACGCCCCACGAAAACTGTGGTCCGGTCACTATAAACCTGAAGGCCTCCAAACACGGCTGTTGTTGTCCTGCTTGATTGGCATTTTAGAAGATGCTATTTGATGAACATACAGAATTTTCTTGATTTCATCTTCCCCTTTATTCTTTGATACAATGTTTCGGGACATGTGTCCGGCCCCATCGACAGTTAACTGTTTACTAGTCTCACTTTGATGATGGGGGCGGAACAAGCCGCGGAACGTTGTATCAAGAATAAAAATTCTTTAAGTTGTTACCTGTTGTGACGGTCACCGGAACAGCCCTGCTCTTGAACTCCCCATACTGGGAAATAACCACAATTTTGTAGGCTGTGTCTGGCTGGAAGGCCGACCAGAGTAATGGGTGGTCGCTGTCTTGTGCAGTAGGGTCATCTCGGTCCGTCCATTAACTTCGTAGTTAATCCACATCTCTGTCCGGTTGTAGCAGCTGAGGCGTTTCCACGTCAGGGTCACTAGGTTGGTTTCCTTCCTCGTAACAGCCACATTTAGAGGGGCTAGCGCTGATACAAAACAAATAAGATCCCACTTGAGCATGACACTGACACTGGAACCATTCATTTGAATACATCTGCTTCATATTCCTTAAAACAACAACAATAGGAAACCCTGCCCACAAGTTTAAAACCGGGTCCACTGTACGAGCCCGTCTATTTCGTAAGTAGTTGTTAGGAGTAAGCGTATCCAGCCACATGGCTGTTATTCGACACAATACCCGTGAAGGTCCAGGTTTGAAATATTGATCTTTAGAAACCCATGCTTGTCGTAGAGGCGACTAACAGGATCGGAGGTCGGGCTCCGCTGGGATCTTGGTTGATTACATGTCATCGGTTCTCAATTGCACAGTCCATGCTCATGCTGTTGATCACTGGATTGTCTGGTTCATACTCGATTATTTACAGACCGCCGCCATATAGCTGGAATATTGCGCAGAGTGTGGCGTAAAACTAAACTCACTCACTCACTCACTATTTACATTCGCCAGTTATCCCTGCTCCACAGGCTAGTGTTCCATTCAGTGTGTCTGGTTGATCCACCTATAACGAAGAAAGCACAAATTCAAGCAAAACGTTAATTGCATAGATTAACACTGTCAAAAGAACCAAAACAGCAGTATCCCACCATCACGTTTTTGTGTATGTACTTATTCAATTGAAATTGTATGAAATCTACCCATTGTAAACATCGTAGTTCCTGGAAAATGTTAATCTCTTTCTATGTCAAATACTAAGCTCTATATCATAAACCTTTCGTTTATATACTGGACAAAAATAGCGTTATATGTACATTTTAAACTTATGAATAATGACATATTTATTCATTGACACACTGACACAATATCAATCATAAAAATACCAATATCCCTAACTTATTTTGTCCAGTATATTATAACCACACTCACAGTGAAACTCTTTGTTGTATGGAGTCCCGCCATGTTCACGAAGTTCATTTCCATTGTCACCGTCTTCCCTTCCAACATTGGGTGCTTCAACCAGCAGTTACTGATGGGCAGGAACTGCGTCTTGTTGAAGCAGACTGGATTAACTGTGGTGCAGTAACACGTTGTAAATCCATTACAGGACTGCGGAGAAAGATGAAAGGATATAGCAGGTGAAAATGAACGATAACAACTGTTAAACGATTCACACGGTGTACTTACATTTATGGTCCTGAGGGGCAATGTTTCATTAACAATCACCAGGTTGCTGCCTATCTTCTTGACGATAAGTTCCACACGTTTCATACCACTCTGCATGTCCCGAACGTTTACTTCAACACTGGAATCAGAGAAGTTACACATAAGTCTTGGTTTTTTTTTCTTATTTTTAGGGTAAACCTTATATTTTCAAAATACATCCAAGGTACGTCCAAGTTCGCCCAGCATGTGAAGTAGATGTGGTGAGGTAAATGTATGAAGAAATGAGTGAGTGAGTGAGTGGAGTGAGCTGGGATTTTAAAGGCACATCGGCAGTATGAAGAAATAAAAAAACAAAACAATCATTGTTTCAGCTACACCGACCTTTCCAAGAAATATACTAGGCACATAAAAAACTGTGGATACAAAATTTAAAATCTAAATTTATCAAACATGTGTAGACATAAAGGATTTAAACTCAGAGATTAGTGACATGTATCCAACATGCATGCATGTGCCACGTTCCGTGGCGTCAGTGGGATTCGATCCTTGAGACGTGCAATACGTTGTTGCACGTGCATTCCGGGAAAGAGAAACAGAGCAAATGAATGCCACACAATACTGTCACTTTGGAAATCTCAACCCCTGTCCTTGCGATCGTTCAAAAATTAAACTGGCTATTGAAACGCATAACATGCCTAGCTATAGGCTCACGTCTGCAATGCAAACGTCATGAGGCCATTGGGATAGTCCGTGGGGAATGTCTCAACGACAAGTAGCTGCACATTTCCACTGACACGGAACACCATTTCTGCACTGGTGATACCCCTTCACCTCGAGGCGCAATGAGCCGGAATGCCGTCGGAATGAAAATTCCTGTAGATTCCTGGAAATTCGAACTGCATTCGAAAACTTCTTACTCCATTCCGAATGCACTCCAACTATTCGTGTCAATTCTGTAACATGCCCGGATGTTTTGAACATGTTCAAAACTTTCGGAGGTACACTCGAAGTTGAAAAATATCAGAACAGCATTTGAAGTGCGTTCTAACTGCATTCTAAGAATTCTTACTGCATTCTAACTGCATTCTAAGTATTCTGAACGTATTCGAGGGAGAATCGAAAAAGCAAGCCACTTCAAATCCTGCAAGAATGTCCCGAATAAGCCTCGAATGTACTTCGATTGCTGGTGGAATTTAGGTGGAATACTCCTCAAACGTATTGGAATATTTCGATTGCACTTGAATGTACATCGAATGGCACCTCACATACAGTCAGAACATCTCGAATGCTCTTCAAATGAGCCCTGGAGTCATCAAAACACCGCCGAATCCCTGAAAACGTCACTGAAACTTCAGACATCATTCACACCTTCAAGCTGCGAAAGTTGTCTCAGCCTCCTGGCACCACGTTGTGCTGCTCATCTTCCTCATCCACCATGCCATTGTGGAGATTAGGATAACGAGTCCTCATCAAGTTGTGCAGGCAGACACAGCATTCAATGATTTCCTTCACAACGGAAGGCCTTTGGCAGCATGGTGGTGAGGAGGATTTGCCAACTGTGGGCCATGATTCCAAATGCATTTTCCACTACCCGTCGGCCCCGACTGATCCTGTAGTTGTTGATTCTCTCGTCTCTCTGGAGAGTCATATGACCATACTGTTTCATCAAGAAGGCTCTTAATCCAAAGGCATCATCTCCCAGAATAAAGCATGGCATATGCTAGTCATCTTGTGGTAAGAACGGATCAGGAAATCCTATGCTCCCGTCTTCAAGACAATTCGCACTTGTTGGAGATTTGAGCATCAGACATACTTCCGTAAGCACCAACGTCCGCCCACAAGGGCCATTTGGACCACAGAAAAGAAGCCCTTGTAGTTGGGAGTTGAGCAGTGAGTTGGGAGTTGGGCAGTGACTGATGAATAGTCCAGATTCAACCGGTTTTTATACCCCATCGTGGAACATTCCGGCAGCATTCTTGATGCATACCAGACATTCGTGTTACATTCTAAGTGCATTTGAAGGACATTTGAATTATTCGAGCTGCATTCTGTTTTAATTCTTTAACATTCGACCCATATTCGGGGGCCATTCCAAGAAGGTTCTGAATGCATTCTATGTAAATTCGTGCAGCATTCGAGGTACGTTCCAACTGAAATTCAAGCTTCGAGTGCTATTCACGCAGCAATCGAACCGGACTCGTACGGCAGTCGAATTGCGTTCTAAGTATTCCAACAGCATTCTTACAAAGCTTGAAAAAAAATGTTTATTTAGACATTCTCTCCCGAATGCGGTTCGAATTTTGGAAATATTTGTTTTCTGGCTGATTCTCCTTGATTCCTGTCAATTCGAAATAAGTGTGTAGGACCCTTGAGACGCTACCAGAACACAAATGACGTCATCGATCAGCCACGTTCTGGACGTTCACGTGTAACAACGCCAAGACAGGACATATGGATAAGGGTGACCCATCTTCGCCACAGGTTTCAGACTGCAGTGATGACTGCCCAAACCATCCCAGGACTTCGCCGTATCCATCCAAACACAGTTCGAAAACGTATACGTCATCACGGGATCAGACAACGGCGTCCCGCCATACGGCCTAACCTGACACAACGTCATCGACAAGCTCGCCGAATGTGGTGCGGAAATCATGTCCACAGACCCTTGTTTTGGTGGAGAAATGTTGTTTTTACAGATGAGTCCAGGTTTAACATTTCCCATAGTAATGGACGTCAACGTGCCTATAGACGCGTGGGAGAACGGTATGAACAGGCCTGTGTCTTGGAGAGGAATGGCATTGGTGGTGGTTCCGTGATGATTTGGGGTGGAATAACAGCACGCCAAAGAACTCCTTTGGTGATTGTTCAGGGCAACTTAACTGGTGTGGGCTACAGGGATCAGATTCTTCGACCTGTGGCAATTCCTTTTCTGCAACGTCATGGCCCAGGGTTAACATTCCAACAGGACAATGCCCGCCCTCATACGGCAACGTTGACTTACTGCTTTGGCTTGCAAATTCACCGGATCTCTCCTCGATAGAGCATGTTTGGGACGAGATGGATCGACGTCTACGCCGTCTTCCTCATCCGCCAGATAACGTCCTTGACCTTGCAACAGAACTTGAGAGAATCTGGCGTGACATCCCACAAGCCTTCCTTGCCCGTTTGATCGGCTCTATGCGTCGTCGATGCACTGCTGTTCTCAGTACTGATATTGGACATACCCGTTATTGAGCTTGTGACATGGTCGTGTGACCCCTGTCCCCCTTGTGGACTCGTGACTTCATTGTGATTGACTTTTCAATTGAAATTCTCCCGACTTGTTATGGTCTCATGATCCCTCCATTAAAGTTTACCTTTGACATTGTTATCGTACTTATCAACTGGGATAATATTTTGACAATGCACAGTTGGTGTAAGAAGACTGTAATAATCTTTTCATTCGAATGACAATAAAGCTGAATTAAAACATATGTACGATAAAGGGTATTTTATATTTGCAACATCACTGGCAAAATGCCTAAAAGTATGGAGCGTCCCAGTCTGAATTTTTTATCTCCTAATTAGGACTTAGCTATCTCCTAAATTAGGTGATACTCTCCTAATTAGGTAACACATTCAGACTGTGGCACTAGGACGCTTCCCGTACGATCACTTTGTTACTTCTATCCAACAAGTGGCTTCAATTCCGAGATCATCATCTGCTTGAGAAGAAGAGATTTTCAGATTCCACATCTCAGCAGGATGACAGAAACACAACAAATATACAAGTGTGAGCAACGTACCATGCTGGTGAACCAACAATGTTCAAACACTACAGGATATGTATACAACTAGTGAACCAACAATGTTCAAACACTACAGGATATGTATACAACTAGTGAACCAACAATGTTCAAATACTACAGGATACGTATACAACTAGTGAACCAACAATGTTCAAATACTACAGGATATGTATACAACTAGTGAACCAACAATGTTCAAATACTACAGGATATGTATACAACTAGTGAACCAACAATGTTCAAACACTACAGGATATGTATACAACTAGTGAACCAAAAATGTTCAAATACTACAGGATATGTATACAACTAGTGAACCAACAATGTTCAAATACTACAGGATATATATACAACTAGTGAACCAACAATGTTCAAATACTACAGGATATGTATACAACTAGTGAACCAACAATGTTCAAATACTACAGGATATGTATACAACTAGTGAACCAACAATGTTCAAATACTACAGGATATGTATACAACTAGTGAACCAACAATGTTCAAATACTACAGGATATGTATACAACTAGTGAACCAACAATGTTCAAATACTACAGGATATGTTTACAACTAGTGAACCAATAATGTTCAATTACTACAGGATATGTATACAAGTAGTGAACCAACAATGTTCAAATACTACAGGATATGTATACAACTACTCACGTTGAACTGAAGGGGACGTTGTTCGTTTGGACGTTTCTCTTGAACACAGGCTCTTCGACTTCAGGCGGTGTATCATCAAAATGGACCCTCGTCGAATCTACCCGGCTGTTACCTAGGACGTCGGTAGCTCTCACCCAAACTGTCACCGTGTCGCTCTTCGTCAGTGGACCTAGGTGTGAACCTATCAATCACAAACGAATATTCATTATTTCAGAACAAACATTGCATTCACGTGATATAGATGAATGCATTTCCTGAGACTTCACATATAGTATTTACCCCAAATATATGTAAACATATAATGAAGTATAGCTTGTCCTACAGATATCAAATAGATGTGTCAAGATACCAATAATATTATGTCGAGTTCTTTTCTTGCAATAATATTAATGTGAGAAAGTATCCTGAATATATCACCAGCTGCATGATATTGAATAGGTTACCTGGAGGTATGGTATATGTTTCACTGAGTCCAACATCAGTCCAGCCTGTGGCTGGTTCCGGCTGATTCACACCGGCATTGCTGTCCTTCGCATAAGCTATCTCAAACTCTGACAACACCTCTCTTGTTTTGTATTGCGTCAACTGTCCTGTTTCCTTCGTGGTCATCCTGTCCGGACTCTCTGGGGATGTTCTTCAAGAAGTTCTCGAGCTGTGGGGGGTATTCGAGGACTTGGTTCAACCACTTGCCCTGCTCGTGCATCAGGTTGACAAAGTGGTTGGTCCACGTGACCTTGATTTCCCTAGATGGATCATCTTGCCAGTTGTACCCGCCATTAGGATCCGCCGAAGATATGTATAGACGGTTGTCTGCCCCTGTATCTATAGTAACACTGGAAACGGGGTCGTATATGGCGATTCTCCTGACAAAGACAGAATTATTGGCCTTGTCCGAGGCCTCCAGGATGAAGGAGTACACTCCAGGAGCAGTTGGTGTGTAGATGGCTTGGAAGGAGTTGGAGGGAGATGACGACTGATTGACTTCAATAGGTCCATATATGGGGTTCAAGGGTTCATACTCCTTCAGAACCTGGTTCCCATCCACCTGTAGTTTGAATACTTCCCAGGCGTAGCGGTACATGCCAGAAAAAACATCATTCCAGTTGGACCAGCGGAGATTGATTGGACTCTGAAAATGTAATGTATAACACATGTACCTGTGTCCACAAGATAACTTAAGCTATATTTAACAGTGTTATATTAATTTGCGATTACACTGTTTAGTAAGGGTTCAGTTCCATACGGGATTCGAACCCACACCCTCAGAGTTGGACCAGCGGAGATTGATTGGATTCTGAAAATATATGTGTAACAATGTACCTGTTCCAAGCTGATATCAATAGGATATTGCTTTGGGTTTATATTAAATATGCACTTAAAATTCCATTTAGAATATTGTTATGCTGTCCCGACATTTAGTGAAGACCAGAGACAAGTATTTTAAAATTATTTATAAGCATTATCACAATTTACTGTTGAGACACGTCATGGTTCCTTGTAGTGAGTGAGTGAGTTTAGTTTTACGCCGCACTCAGCAATGTTCCAGTTATATGGCGGTCTATAAATAATCGAGTCTGGACCGGACAATCCAGTGAATCAACAGCATGAGCATCGATCAGCGCAAATGCATGGTTCCTTGTAAGACACAATACGCAGCTTTGAGTAAAAATAGGTGTTGAATGTGTGCTCAAGATTCATGGAACAAAACTACGTATTCATTTTGACGCTAAATACAACGACTTTTATTGACCTTGTAATATCAGCAAAAAGGTCATTCAATCGTACTTAGAGTACATAACATAATCTTTTAGTTGAAGACATAGGGATATAATAAGATGACAGCGTATCATTCAAACCTGTACATCTTGAGGAAATACTACATATACAATGTTGACATAATGTTTCATGACAATGACAGTGTGATGCCAAAACTGTTTCTATTCTTTACAAAAGATGACCATGCTGCCTTTTTCACATGTCGTGATGTTTACCTTTGTCACATCTTGCGTCATTGAAAACGGTTCATCTGAACAGGAAGACCCTTGACCCAGGCAGCTATGGGTTGGTTTCTTGAAGTCAAAACGGAACTGCATAGACTGATCTACCATATGTCCAGTGTAGTTCTGGTTTCCTCTGTCTATCAGGCCAGAAGAAGTTACTTCCTGGAGTGCCCGGTAACCCCCGCTCCAGGCCTTGAATGTTAGAATAAGTCTGAAGCAGAGAAGAAAAGATGCGTATGTACCTCTTGCTTTTCCTGGCCGTACCACTTTTTATCTCAATATGTTCTAACAAAAGTTTTAAGATATGCATAACTCAGTACATTTACCATGACAATATTCTTTTCAATGAAAGTATTTCTCACGATTTCTCTTATTAATTCTGCTGATCAAAGTGATATACCAGTCTTTATATACAAATGGAAACCATGAACAAATGTTTTCCAGACGTAGTTGTAGTTTACAACCAGCACCAGCACAACTATAAAACCAAAGCTGTGCACACAAGTACTGGGAGGAACGGCACATGTGTACTTAAATGAACCACTCATGAGCGCACGTAGGCTCGAATGAACCATGAGTTTGTGCAGTCTTCTTTTAATCACTTCATTTGGACAGAATCTTCGTTCTGCAGACATGGCACAAACAAGGGAATGACATATCTCTTTGTGAATAATGATATATTAAACTGGCACAGCGCATGCAGACTTAAAGAGTAGAAATAATTCATAGTCACAAACAATCACAGGGCATTCTCAAGAATATTCCATTTTCTCTCAAATTAATGAATACTGAGATTTGTTTCTAGATATAAATTTCTCAATGTCATATACATCTTTTAATATCACTTTGTATGTGGTCAAACTTGGTTTCACACCGTCATGACAAAGATGTGGCGCCTGGCTAATATGATCATGTGTTTGAGCTTGTGGTCACTATTGGCACAGAATGTTATGTCTTGAGTTGACAGTTCGATTGTTCTGTGTAGGACACTTTTAACAAAATTGGTGAATTCTTTAGAGAATAAAAAATGGTTGTACAGTTTATTGTACAATTCTATTCGCAACCACACTCTAAGAGTGAAGAACCAAGTCGCAAGCATACAGTATCGTCGATTTTGCACACCGAGGCTGCCAGAAGAAGTCGTAAAATCAGTATATCACAAGGAAAGTGTATTTTCCAACATAACCCTTTTTACAAAAGAGGAAATGATCTTACTTATCTCCGTTTTCCAGGGATCTGTCGTAGTTTGGTTTGGTTATGTCACAGTAGTAGGTGTCGGAGGTGGGGTTGAGGTCAGATACAGTCGGTGTGCAGGGCAGAGTTGTGTCAATACTGACAATCGGAGTTGACCCTAGAAGAAAAATGTAAGATACGGTTGATTGAATGCATGAGAAAATGTATCAAAATCTAAAAATAGGCCGGATATATAAACGCGTTTCGAATGACATGAACTCATTGTTCTGATCATGAAGATGTTTTCATTTCTGATTAGTTTATTGATCTTCCTAAGACATAATCATGATAATTTGTGATGATTCCGGAAGTAGAACCGATAGTAAAGAGCCATCCTCGTTATGTCTTTAGAATCAACACATTCAATCTCTCTGACTTACACCTTATTATGGTTTATGAATAATTTCTTGATATGTAGAATAGCATCCGATTTTACTCGTACTCTATCATTATCAATTCAATGAGGTAAATATTCCCACCCGTCAAAGGCAGCTTCTCGTGGTGAATGTCAACTTCGGCTTTAGCAATACCGATGCCATAGCTCTTGATGAAGGCGGGCTGAGCGTGATTATCCGTCATGTAATGTGCAGACGCGGTGACGTTCACCCAGTTGAATCTCTCCCTGTTTGTCCACACGGAGTCAGAAACATTGGACATGGTGGAGTCTGCGTACAAGGAATACTTCTCCATGGTTGGCATCCCGGTGCCCCGCTGCCAGAACGACAGTCTGGCGCCGATCTCGTAAATCTCTGGCCTCTGATTTGATTCCACTGTAACCAAAATTACCATAGACATTCAGCCGCTTGTTACCTTATGCATCACGAACCGTCCTCAGTGTGAAATTTGGGATCTATCCACTTTGACTTTATTTACAAAGTTCACGCACATTCCTGGTTCACTGTGTTGAATTATCCATCATAAGGGATAAATATTTCAATATCAAAACAGTAAAGGACCTTTTTAATAAAGTTAATTATCGTTTAATCATTGATTCTTTAAAAGAGATAGGTTTGTTAACTGAATTTTGATATATGTTTTGTAAATAGATACAGTTTTATAATTGGTAGTTCACATTATCAACTTCGATTGTTAGTGGCTGTATCCTCAAAGGGGGTTGAAGTAGCGTAAAATTATTGTCCTCCTGAGAGGGTACGTAAGTCCCAAAAACTTTCAAAGTGAAATTTTCTCGTACCAAGTTTTTAAACGTAGTATTTTTGTTCTTTTAAATTAAGGCTAAAGTACCCTACAATCGCCAGCGGCTGAAAGGATGGTGTAAATCCAGCTAGGCTCCATGCAGGTAGCAAAAGTAATGTCCCCGTGGTTCCTAGTTTGGTGATCTACCTTAAGTGGTTGGCGATCTATAGCCCGTGTTTTATATTGTATTGTCTTCTTTAATTGGAATGTTTTAGCTTTGTTCGCTAGTTTTATATTATATCTGTGATTATCTAGTATTTTTACTGTTTTACTGTCCATCCTCGACAGGTTTTAATCCTCAAAATATTTTCACTTTTAATTGTATAAATTGTTTTCGTCACGACATGACTGAGATATTGCCGATGTAACGTTAAATATTAACTCACTCACTCACTCACTCACTCACTCACTCACTCACGCACATTCCTTACCTCATTTAATCGATGTGTTATTACATATTCCATTTTTATCACAGGTAACCATAGTGAAAGGACAGGTGTACACAGGGAACTTTTTCATGGGCATTTATTTTGTGGTTGAGAAGAATATGCCGCTGGTTATTAATTGACTTTGTAATTGACATGAGCTTATAGTGTAAACATAATGGACCAGTACATTTTCTACAATAGTCACTCGGACTAGGTGACGGAGACGTGAAGTTTGAAGAACAGTCACAGTTGACACTGGAACCTGGTGTACAGCTACCGGGGAAACAGGGCCTCTGGTAGTTACATACCACTGAAAAACAAACCAAAAACTAAAGATAGATCAAGCGAAACCATATCCTTCTCAACTCTAGTGATTTCTTCTGTGTATGTAAGAATTCAATCCACCACTTGGACAAACTGTACTTTTACTATTTTATCATTGTACCATTTTACTATTAGACTATTACTGTTAAGCCTTGTAAGGATGTAAAGGTAAGGCATTCACAATACATACACGTGTTACACCTTGATCCTATAGCGCCATCATTACACCGACAGGTGTTGGGTAGCACACAGGTACCCCTGTTCTGACAGGTAGGGTTGCAGATTGCTGGAAATATGACATCAGACAAATCAAATTATCCCCACAAGTCCTTTCTCACAACTGTAACGTATCATCACATTGTACAAACTGTTGAATCTCTCGACTAAAATACAAAGCGAAGGAACTCGATACTTCTTTTATGAACACTACATGCTTAGCACTGTAATTTCAGATTATAATTCGGTTAATATAGCCTCACAGGTTCCAGCTGATAAATACGTTATGCGGTCACTATGTGAAGGGACCAGTCTTACCTCGGTCACAGTTCTGGTAGGATGAGAATGTCCAGCCAGGACAGCAGAAAGATACAGTCCGATAATCCGGCTCCCAGTACCACTTGTAGTAGCAGCAGCTGTACAGTGGAATCAGAGGGAACAGCTTATGATGACGATGATTATGGACGACGTACAAAATTATATCCACTGCAATTGTTCAATTTTGTGATTGCTATACACATAGTAAGTCTAATTGAATTGTAAATCTTGTAAAATGAATAGTTCTACACGTTAATGACACACACTGTGTAGTGACATATTGAAACAGGCGACATAGTCTCCGCCAATATACAATATATAGTAGGTGAGCGAAATGCAGTTGAACTTCGTATTCAAAAATATGGACCAACTTAGCGGCTTGCATGGACACACGTGTTTGTGTGTGTGTGTGTGTGTTTGTGTGTGTGTGTGTGTGTGTGTGTGTGTGTGTGTGTGCGTGCGTGCGCGCGCGCATGCTTGTGTGTCTCTGTGTATGTCTTTGTGTGTGTGAGTGTGTGTATATGCATGTGTGCAGATGAGTGTGTATGTGTCAGTCTTACGAGTTCGGGAAATACTGGTATGATTCAATTAGACCATTGATATACCACTACGCACAATTTAACTGAACTGTCGTCGCATCCCTTTAATATCGAGCCCCCAAATGGGTGACAACGTTAGTCAGTATGACACTGCAACTGAATGAACCACCAATCTTCAGCTCTCCGAGCGTGTGCTCAAGGCATGGGGCCAAGTATTAGGACCAAAAATATAGAAACGAGCAGAATATAATCACCCTATAACTAATCATGTGAATTGTTACAACATGCACTGGTTCCACATACCCCATCCACGTCCGATATGCACATCGTCTCACGCGTCTGTAGCTGCAGATTGTCCGAAAACAAACGTTCCTAAAAATAGACACATTCAATAAAGCCTTTGTTAACAGCACTGCTTTATAAGGTTACAATCAAAGTACATGTATACACCAAATATGTCGTTAAGAAATTAACAATTGAATCACAAACTTTGAGGTATATATGTGAGAGTGATAGGATTTTAAATAGTATGACCGACTGTGTTTGAAAATAAGATTGGCCAAGCGTCTTTAAGTGTTCCAACATGGATCACCAGCAGTGATGTTCTGGCGGGGAAGCTGGTAGAAAACAGGATTATGGTAGTTCAGTTTTGACGTGTACTGTTTCAACGATGCAACGGGACACGAGGGAGTATGACTGCATACATTTGGCGTTTATCTTCCGAATAGTCGAAGGTGTGACGCCAGATCTTTAGGAAGTGCTTCGAAATTACGGGATATGCTCTGTAAGCCATACACCGTTTACCATAAGGCAAAGTTTTACTCACATTTTGCTGTTAATTGTGTATATTAAAGGATGTATGTATATACGTTTTTCTGATGAGTTAAATATTGTTTGTTTATGGTTGGGCTTATGAATTGTAATTGAGTTTGTATATGCTCATAATGGACCCGCTAGTATGAGAGGGATGTTATCAAATAAATGTGGAGGATAAAATCATATAATTGCATTTTCGAGATAAATGTTTTATTAATATTATTTCCATCACGTCTCGTTAATTTCAGCCTTGTTGGTGGTCAGACGGAAGTAGTGTGGCATTGTTGTATACGTGCGCAGTGACGCAGTCATAAAATCAGAAGTATTTTCAATCCAAATTCATTGCGTCCAATTTTGTTAATTGTCCAATACAATTAAAAATATTCCACGTAATTATGGTAGAATATTAGAATAGACATCATACATAACAATTATGATAATTTGTTGCATAAGTCAAAATGCGCAATGTTTTTATTCACTTCTTTATTTTACTTCCCTTCACTAATCCGCTAGGTGCCCTGATGATCTGTACGCGTTACTAATACACTTAGACAGTTAACCAGTATAGCCTTCGCCTTCACTGGTAACGTTGGTGCATGGACATTATGTCAAGTGTTATGTTCTGAAAATACCGTGATTCCGTGATACACCATGGAAATCCATAATTGGTAGATTGCAACAATGAATCACCAGGTGATCTCTCACCTTCTTTATCAATGAATTAGCAATGCAAATTGAAAATAATTGCAGAAATGGTATTCAGTTACATCCAGATGTGAGGTGAGGTGAGGTGAAATTGGGTTTAACGTTGTACTTTAGGATATTTCGCTCATATGACGACTTGCATGCGTGTGTATGTGTATGTGCGGCTGCTTGTACTAGCCCAGACTGGTTTTATAGTGCTAGCCCACTGAGAAAACGTATGCCGCAGTGAAGCATGAATACCCCACTCAGACACATTATACTGACTCCGTGCCGACCAGTCCTTGTTGTACCCATTAATGCCGAGCGCCAGGCAGGGACCAACAAGTACCATATTTTAACGTCTTTGTTATGACGCGGTCGGGGATCGAACCCGCGACCTTCCACTCTCCGGGCGGACGCTCTAACCACTACACCACGGAGGCGGTCCTACATCCAGATGTGTTCCAACTTTTTCTTTCATTGTTTGTAGATGGCATTGCTCTTATTTCTAGTACAATTGTTCGTCTCCAGAAGCAAAATCAATGAATTATAAAAGTTATTGCGAACAATCTGAATGTGAATATGACGAAATGGTATTATAAAGGCAATCAGATTGAATCAACAACCTCATATATATACCTAGGTGTATATTTTACTAATCATCTTTCCTGGTCAACCCATGCAAAGTATGCACAAAAGGTGTTGATAGGTATACTGAAAAATTGTAATATACTTGGAGATTTAAAGTTAGCATCATTTTTCAGAATATTTGATGTTAAAATTAGTCAGATTCTATTATACGGTGCTGAAATTTGGGGATCTCAATATTTTGACCAAATAGAAAGAGTTCATTTACTTGCATGCAAGAAGTTTCTTGGGGTAAAGATGAGCACAACTATTGTAATGATTTATGGTGAGTGTGGTAGGTTTCCTCTTGGTATAAATTCACAAGTTAAAGTAATCAAATATTGGCTAAGACTTTTAAGTATGTAAAATGATGATTTTATATTAATGATAGAAATGGACACACAAATTGTGTAACGAATGTTTTATTTACATGTGGTATGAGCAGTATGTTGTGTTTCCCTCAACGTTTATTGGTTTATTTACGCAAAAATTGAAAGATATATACCAACAAAACTGGCTTGAAAAACTTTCCCCTTCTACGAAATGTGATTACTGTTCATCTTTTAAACCATGCATTAATTCTGAGCATTATCTATCATGTGTCACGATTAAAAAATAGAGAGTAAGTTTAGCACGTTTTCGCTGCTCATCACATGACCTGTGGATTGAAAAAAGTTGATTTATGAAGATAAAAGGGAAGATAGGTTATGTAAATCATGTAATATTAATATCTTAGAAAATGAATATAAGTTTATGCTCGTATGTCCATTATATGATAAACTACGTAGAAAGTACCTTTAAGAATTTTATTATGTCCATCCATCTATAGATAAATTTTATTCCTTAATAAACTGCTACCACCATGAATCACCAGATGGCCGTTCGAAGTGAGGCAGTAGAATCCATTGTTTAGAGTCTGGGTCCAATAGGCCAATTAGTTAACAAAGATGGATTAAGGTATAGTTTGTAACAAGACACAGGTAACACTGTTCTGTGCATTTTTAGCACTCACTGTTCACTTAAATATTAGCTCACGCAGTATTTGCAACACTCTGTTATGTACAGCACGGAAGTATAATCTACTGGACTATGTATTTACCTACATGCAAACTGGTAATTTTCCGTCAAAGACATTTTGGCGCAGAAAGTTATAAGTTGTATCTTCTCTTATGAAGAAGCTCAATGGAAATTGAGACTCCCCGTTAGAGAGGATATGTCCAGATATGCTGTAATCCATCAAACACTGAGTCTACATAGACTTTACACTCTAATGTATCTGTACCCAGAATATAAAGACCATATACAACTTGCTGTACTAGTCGGTTCTAAAGCCAAATTCTCAAAAGAATGTATGCTTTGTAATAAGTACTGCTATGACCACGATGCCCACATCATTTTGCACTGTGAATCTGTAATGAGCCAAAGAAATAACTTTTATATGACGCTACTTGACCTACTGGACGTAGAATTATATGTATTAATTGAAATGCTTGATGATGAAGATGCCCTTGTACTGTTTTGTGGTGCAAAACTTCACATCCCTGGCCTTCATGAAACAGCATGGCAAACCATCATACTACATTTTTAAAACTATATCTATTCTTTAAAGGACTCCTTGATGTATACTTTCTGAACTATCATCGTTGTAAATAACCGTGCTTTGTACATATCATATGTACATATATGTAACGTACTGATGCTTGTTTATGTAATCGTCGAATATATTTTTGGAGGAAATAAAGTCATTCATTCATTCATTCATAGGCCATGACCAATTAGTTAACAAAGATGGATTAAGGTATAGTCTGTAACAAGACACAGGTAACACTTGGTAAGACATTTTATAGTATAAATATTTATATACAGATTGATTGTAACCGAAGTCGGTGCAGGTGATATTCGTAGCACTAAACATACAGTCAGACAATTTACAGTCCGACAAAATTCATGTGATAATATTACGTCTAGACTTAACTCTGGATTTCAAACCATATAACACTAATTCTGACCAATTTTAGTATTAGCAATGTATCTAAAGTTAACCTGAGCGTTCGTAATTTGTGATTCAGAGGAGCTATTTATGTCCAAATATATTTCAGACACAGAAGAAGCTGTACCAGGATAAGTACATATTCAAGGGTACTTTCCAAATTCAATTGTTCATCACATATGTTAAATACATAAATATATATACATATATATATACATACTACTTATAAATTCCAATCTCTATAATGGATGACACTGTTCAGTGAAGTAAACATCAAAAATGGTTTACATAATACTGACTTGCATTGTCTTTATGTAGTATGTGAAAAGTAAAATTGTAAAAACACAGGGGTGAGCTTGGCGGTGATTACGTCCAAGGCCTCTGATCTCGAACAAAGGCCAGTCTATGTTTTTACATGCACAAGGTTGATGCACATCTCCGTGACGTTTCTGGAGTTTGTTGAATGGTAGAGCAAATAATACGAACTAACCTGTATCACTCGAGGATTTCCATAATTTTTTCAAGAATGTAAATGAGTCAATTATTAACGAAGTTATAGAGCCAGATATTGACTTAGATCACCATGACTATGATGACGAAATATCTCTAGCTGAAATTAATGCAGCTTTACAAAAACTCAAGAGAAACAAAGCCCCTGGATTACATTTTATTCAAAATGAACACTTGACTTTAACCTAGTCAATTCTAATGAATTTTTATAAAGAATATTTAAATGCAGTACTAGAAAGCGGAGTATTGCCTGAATCATGGTTGAATGGTATCATTCGGCCTGTTCATAAGAAAGGCTGTAATCGTATGGATCCTGCTTCTTATCGACCGATATCTATTTTAAGTTGTTTTGGTAAATTCTTCACCAGCATTATAAACGACAGGCTCACCAAATTTTGTGACAAAAAACGAGATGGTTTGAGAAAGGGCTTTTCCACAACGGATAATGTTTTCATCATTCAGAATCTTATTCATAAAATGAAAGAGACTAATAATAATTATTTTGCGCTTTTGTAGACTTCTCGAAAGCTTTTGATAAAATATGGAGAGCTGGCCTTTGGTATAAATTAAAACATATTGGTGTGAGGGGAAAACTACTAATTTTGATTCAAAATATATAACGACATCAAATCATGCATATGTGTAATGGTCCATTACGATATATCCCCTTTCTTCTCATATTTGTCTGGTGTCAGGCAAGGGGAAAATTTGTCCCCTCTACTTTTTTCAATATTCCTGAATGATT